GGTTGATTTTTGATTTGGTGCAATGGTTTTTTACAGGTCCTTGTGTTAGTATAAACCCTACAAGTCAATCTATGGTTATATGAGAATTTCAATTTTGAGATATTTATGTATGATATTTTGTTATTCATAATAACATTGAAGTAGTTCTTTATCCATAAGTTTGTGATTTAATTTTTTTTGTACTTATGTAGATAAAGCTTATGGAATTATATATGTATTGCAAAGGATTGTATTGGGATACGATTATAAGATCTTTATGGATTATAGCATTGTTCCTAAAAGTTTTTGATCATTGTATTTATGAGACAGGACATCAATAAAACTAAAAGATTAGCACATGTTAGTTCTCACTTGTTAAGTAAAAATCTTTTGACTTTCTTAACAATTGGGTGATATTGATGCATTGCTAGATGCCAATCATGATCTACAGAATTGAATTAGTTAATTTAAAATTAAATATGATTTATTTAAATTAATTAATTAATAATATTATAATTCAATTCCGTTGTCAACATGTTAGGAACCTAATGGGTCGCATGCAAAGGTTGCAATTTGGATTACATTGAGAGTGTGATGATTTAAGTTAGACTTAAATTAAATTTTAGGTTTTAACTACTCAAGACTTAATTAAAAGAGTTTAATTAGGTGTTTGTTAAATGTTATAATAAGGTCTAAGAATTTTTTGAAGCTTACCTTTTGCTTGGGAAAATACTTGTAGACTTTGGTGCGTGACCCATGGTTAGAAAAAAAACCAGTTGCTTGGTTGCCTTCTTTACGAAATTATGAAAGACACACTTTTCAAACATTTTCAGATTGACTCTAGCAAATGGCGTTTCTAATGTGAACCGTTATGGCTATCCCGGATCATCTGAACAGCCAACTTGCATCCATTTCTATCCACACTCTAGTCACATGACATTTAATGCATAGGGGCAAGCTCTATGAAGTGCCTGCAAGGAGTTATTTGGATCAAAATTTTCAGAAAAGCCAAGAATGAGAGTACTTGTATATTTTTGTGTTGAAAAAGAGTTCAATGGTTGATTTTTGATTTGGTGCAATGGTTTTTTACAGGTCCTTGTGTTAGTATAAGCCCTATAAGTCAATCTATGGTTATATGAGAATTTCAATTTTGAGATATTTATGTATGACATTTTATTATTCATAATAACATTGAAGTAGTTCTTTATCCATAAGTTTGTGATTTAATTTTTTTTGTACTTATGTAGATAAAGCTTATGGAATTATATATGTATTGCAAAGGATTGTATTGGGATACGATTATAAGATCTTTATGGATTAAAGCATTGTTCCTAAAAGTTTTTGATCATTGTATTATTGAGACAGGACATCAATAATGCTAAAAGATTAGCACATGTTATGTTCTTCACTTGTTAAGTAAGAATCTTTTGACTTTCTTAACAATTAGGTGATTATGATGCATTGCTAGATGCCAATAATGATCTACAGAATTGAATTAGTTAATTTAAAATTAAATATAATTTATTTAAATTAATTAATTAATAATATGATAATTCAATTCCGTTGTCAACATGTTAGGAACCTAATGGGTCGCATGCAAAGGTTGCAATTTGGATTAAATTGAGAGTGTGATGATTTAAGTTAGACTTAAATTAAATTTTAGGTTTTAACTACTCAAGACTTAATTAAAAGAGTTTAATTAGGTGTTTGTTAAATGTTATAATAAGGTCTAAGAATTTTTTGAAGCTCACCTTTTGCTTGGGAAAATACTTGTAGACTTTGGTGCGTGTACCCATGGTTAGAAAAAAAACCAGTTGCTTGGTTGCCTTCTTTACGAAATTATGAAAGACACACTTTTCAAACATTTTCAGATTGACTCTAGCAAATGGCGTTTCTAATGTGAACCGTTATGGCTATCCGCGATCATCTGAACAGCCAACTTTGCATCCATTTCTATCCACACTCTAGTCACATGACATTTAATGCATAGGGCAAGCCTCTATGAAGTGCCTGCAAGGAGTTATTTGGATCAAAATTTTCAGAAAAGCCAAGAATGAGAGTACTTGTATATTTTTGTGTTGAAAAAGAGTTCAATGGTTGATTTTTGATTTGGTGCAATGGTTTTTTACAGGTCCTTGTGTTAGTTATAGCCCTTAAGTCAATCTATGGTTATATGAGAATTTCAATTTTGAGATATTTATGTATGACATTTTATTATTCATAATAACATTGAAGTAGTCTTTATCCATAAGTTTGTGATTTAATTTTTTTGTACTTATGTAGATAAAGCTTATGGAATTATATATGTATTGCAAAAGATTGTAATTGGGATACGATTATAAGATCTTTATGATTAAAGCATTGTGGCCTAAAAAGTTTTTGATCATTGTATTATTGAGACAGGACATCAATAATACTAAAAGATTAGCACATGTTATGTTCTTCACTTGTTAAGTAAAAATCTTTTGACTTTCTTAACAATTGGGTGATTATGATGCATTGCTAGATGCCAATCATGATCTACAGAATTGAATTAGTTAATTTAAAATTAAATATGATTTATTTAAATTAATTAATTAATAATATTATAATTCAATTCTATTGTTAACATGTTAGGAACCTAATGGGTCGCATGCAAAGGTTGCAATTTGGATTAAATTGAGAGTGTGATGATTTAAGTTAGACTTAAATTAAATTTTAGGTTTTAACTACTCAAGATTTAATTAAAAGAGTTTAATTAGGTGTTTGTTAAATATTATAATTGTTATAATATTAAGGACTTATTTTGTAAATTTAATAAGTTAAACTTAAATATAAATATCACATTATTGCTACTTTTTTTTAAAGGGAAGGAAGGAAAAAAAAAAGTTTTTCTATTGAGTGCTACCACTCTTGACAAATTTTTTTTTTTTTGAAAACTTTTCCTTTGATTCTTTGCTGGAAATCAAAGAAGAAACGAGGAAAAATTGTTGTCCACTTACTAGCATAAGCTCGTGGCATAAAACTCTCTCCCTGATAAGTATTCGTTGCAATCGTGTGTGCATCATTAAAGGCTAAGTAATTGAGTGGTTGGGATTCTTTCACACAAAAGGGGTTCACGTTTTATCACCAAAAGAAATCCATTTGATTATGATATCACTTGGAAAGGTATAATTTTTGCTGATTTTTAGTGGTGCTTAACTTTGCATTAAACAACCAAGGTGATCCAAAGGTAGGAGGTATGGTTTTTCTTCTATTTCAATTTTTGTTATTTTGCTGCGTTGATGCTCTAATCATGTCATTTCTAGCAGTAGTATCAAAGCCACCCTTGGCTTGTTTTAATGCAAAAGTATGTTTTGTTATTGTTTAATTCCAATTCTGATTGAATGTGAGGTATTTGGAAGAGAGAAAGTTAATGTTAAATTTCGATTATGTTTAAAAGTCGTTTATCACATATTAGAGTTTTGATTTTAATACTTATTTGTTTCAGCAACTAATCTTGTTTAAGTGTCTCAGTTTTGCAGCACAATATGTGCATGAGATGCACAAAAGAGTTTGGCAAGAAAACGATTCAAATTCATGAGAAACAAGATGTGGTTTGGTGATAGAATTTGATTCTGTCCAGATTTGCATATGGTTTGATTTTCATTTTTTAACAGGGATTTAAAAGCCTTTAAAAATTCTGAAAAGATCTGGAAGTAATCTACATTGAAATTGTTTCAATATGATTTATTACCAGCTGAAAACGGTGAACGAAAGATCGTGAAATCATGGCTGAAACCATTGCTGCTAACAGCAGTCATCTTCAAAGAGTCCTAAAATTGTAAAATTGTTGTACCTTTTTGGATAAATTTTGAAGTTTGAAATTGTTTAAAGGTGCCTGGAAAGATTTCTAAAATTAAGGGATTTAATCCCTTAATTTATGCCATCATAATGCCACATATGCAACCCAAAAACTACAGCTATATATAGGATAAATAGGATGCGTTTTTTTGGGGTTTTGACCAGCTAAATCAAGTCTAAAAATTATGAAACTTTATGGAAAGGTTCCATACATTAGCTGACCGTGGTTAAAATTTGGTAATTAAATTCCCTAATTTGATGCTGCATCAAGCCACAAAACCGTGACTGGTATAGTGCTGCCAGAATTTTGTAAAGCTATGGTTTTTGGGATTTTAGTGTCCATATTTGCAACCTAAATTGATGCAATTAAAAACACTAATTCACTAAACAATATCTCATGGAAAGTTCT